AAGTGCTAAAAACCTATTTTGGAGAAAAGACAGCCTTTTTAACAAATGGTGCTGGGGAAACTGGATAGCTATATGTAGAAAAATTAAACTAGACCCATGAATCTCACCCTGCACAAAACTCAAATTGAAATGGATCAAAGACTTAGGAATTAGAACAGAAGCCTTACAATTGCCAGAAGAAAACATAAGGTCAATACTCTATCATATAGGTGCTGGCATTGACTTCCTTAGCAAGGACCCCGAAGCATAAGAAATAAAACTAAGAATCTATAAGTGGAATGCCATCAAATTAAAAAGCTTCTGTACAGCAAAGAAAATGATTAAGAGTGTGAAGAGAGAGCATACAGAATGGGAAAAAATCTTGGTCAGCTGCTCCTCTGATAGAGAATTAACATCTAGAATATACAAAGAATTCAAAAAACTTAACACCAAAAAAACCAAATAGCCCAATCAATAAATGGGCAAAATAACTAGAGAGAAACTTCTCAAAAAAAAGAAACACAAATGGCCAATAAATATATGAAGAAATGTTCAACGCCTCTAGCAATCAGGGAAATGCAAAACAAAGCTACACTAAGGTTTCACCTCACTCCAGTCAGAATGGCAAGGATCAAAACCACAAACAATAGTAAATGCTGGTGAGGCTGTGGGGAAAGAAAAGATACACTTGGACATTGTTGGTAGGACTGCAAACTAACACAACCACTTTGGAAAGCAGTATGGAGATTCCTCAAAAAGCCTGGGATGGAACCACCGTATGACCCAGCTATCCCACTCCTTGGTATTTTCCCAAAAGATCTAAAATCAGCATATGACAGCAACATGTCACATCAATGTTTATAGCAGCACAATTCATAATAGCTAAATTAAGGACTCGGTCCATTCATCTATTGACAAGCATCTAGGTTAAGAAACTGTGATATATACATACATATGTATATTATATATATATATATATATATATATATATATAAAATGGAGTTTACTCAGACATAAAAAAGAATAAAATTATGGCATTTGCTGATAAATGGATGGAAATGGAGAATATCATGCTAAGTGAAATAAGGCAAACTCAGAACTCAAAGATCAAAAGTTTTCTCTCATATGTGGAAAAATAAAGGAAAGAGGGAGGAAAGGATAGGATAACATTAGAACCACTCAAATACAAATTAATAGAGAAGCAAAAGGAAGTCTAGTAGAGTAGAAGAAGGAGAAAGGGAGGGGGAGGAGAGATAGGAGGTGGAGGAAGATGGAATCAACAACTGAAACAGAGCTGAGCATGGGTCAAGTGCAGTGGTGCAGGCCTGTAATCCCAGTGGCTCGGGAGGCTGAGGCAGGAGGATCACGAGTTCAAAGCCAACCTCAGCAACTTGCAGTAAGGCATTTAGCAAATCAGTGAGACCCTGTCTCTAAGTAAAATATAAAAAATGTCCAGGGATATGGCTCAGTGGTTAGAAAGGTCACAGGACATAAAGACAACAACAACAAAAATTTCCATTACAAAATGAACAATTGGAAACTGAAATTTAAAACCATATCATGCTAAGTGAACCCAGCCCTGGGTTCAATCTTCAGTATCAAAAAAAAAAAAAAAAAGGAACTGAAAATAGATTTCCATGCATGTATAAGTTTGTTGGGATGAACCCAACTACTATGTATAACTATGGAGCTCTAATAATAAACAAATAAATAAATTGGACTTCACCAAAACTTTTTTAATATTTATTTTTTAGTTGTAGTTGGACATAATCTCTTTATTTCACTTATTTATTTTTATGTGGTGCTGAGGATTGAACCCAGGGTCTTGCACATGCGAGGTGAGCGCTTTACCACTGAGCCACAACCCCAGCCCCACACAAAAACTTTTTAAAAAGTTAGATTACAGAACAATTTTAGTTTCAATGAAGTCTAATTTATCAAATTTTTATTCTATGGATTTGCACTTTTGGTTTAATATCTAAGATTTTTAATGTTTCTTACATAAATTTTGTAGTTTGGCATTTTAATATGGATCCATAATCAATTTTGAGCTGACTTGCATATAAAATGCATAAAAATTTTTATGTAATTTCTCTACAAGAATTTTATGTAAGACATGAGATTTAGTTCATGTTTTTAAACATATGAATGTCCAAATGTTTCAGTTTCAGCTGTTGAAAGACTTTCTTTAATCCATATGGTTATCTTTGCACTTTTGACAAACAGCAGTTGGCTATACCTGTGTAGGTTTATTTCTGGACTATTCCATTGATCCATTAGTCTATTTCTTTGCCAATAACGTTTTATTTTGACTTCTGTAACTTTAGGTAGTCTTAAATAGTAGTGATATGAGCACTGCAACTTTATTCTTTTTGAAAACTATTTTGGCTATTCAAATTCCTTTGGCTTTCCATATATATATATAGTGTGTGTGTGTGTGTGTGGTGTGTGTGTGTGTGTGTAGGTGTGTGGTGTGCTGGGGATTGAATGCGTGCAAGGCAAGCACTCTACCAGTTGAGCTATATCCCAGCCCTCCATATAATATTTTAATCATTTTGTTTATATTTACATAAATAATGCCATGTAATGATAGGGTTTACACTACACCTATAGCTCAATTTGGGGAGACTTGCCATCTTTACTGTTTTAAGTCTTCCCAGTTTGAACGTGGTGTTTCTCTCCATTTACTTTGCGGCTCCCTGGTTTCTTTTAGCCTAAGCATCTGTAGTTTTCAGCATCTGTGGGGGGCCATCCTCGCACGTGATTTGAGTTCCCTCCCTGGCTGGGTGAGAGGCGCTTAGGCACAGCTGTGTCAGAGCTATTCCCCACCCTTCTCCAGGTCCGAGGGCTTGTCCGTGCAGAGGCGTGTCTGGCCACTGCCCTGAAGACCCAATCGTCCCCCCTGACCTTGGGATGCTGCCCCCCTTAATCTTCACTGGATGGGATTTTCCCCAGAATTTTTTGTTCCCCAATAAAAGTCCACTCCCTGGCGTGTTCTCTCTCGCTAGCCTCTTCAGTGACCTTGCTACCGCATTAGGTGGCTGGAGGCAGGAGCTAGGAGGAGCTGTCCTGGAGCTGGTTTAAAAGGTAATTAGAGTCTTGTCTCTTTAATTTAAAACTCCCTAGTGGTTTCTCACGACTTGAACCTTCTTTCATGAAGCCAGCGCGGGTTGCATGGCAGAGCACTCAAATGCTGTCCATGTTTTGTTAGACTTATATTTACGCATTTCATATTTTGAGGGGACATATTATAAACGGTATGGTTTTAAAGTTTAGTTTCCAATTGTTCATTTTGTAATGGAAGTTTTTGCTGCTGTTGTCTTTATGTCCTGTGACCATTCCTAAACTCATGTATTGATTTTATGAACTTTTTGGGTCAAGTTCTGAGGTCTTTCTATTATAGACAGTAGTCAACTGTGATAGCTTTACTTCTTCCTCTCCAATCTACATGCTTTTACTTCTTTCTTTTTCTTGTCTCATTGCTCTAGCATCCAGAAGGATGTTGGATGGGAGGGGAGAGTGGACAACGACCCTTGTTCCTGGTCTTGGGGGGAGTATTCAGACTTCTACTATGAAGTGCAACATACTTGAGTTTTTGCAGGTGTCCTGTTTAAGGGTAAGAGAGTTGTCTCCTATTCCTAGTTAGCTGAATTTTTTAAAATCATGAATGGATTGTGAATTTTATCAAATGGTTTTTCTGTATTAATTAATAAGAAGGTATGGATTTTCCTCTTTAGTTTCTTAAGGTGATAGATTATGTTGATTGATTTTTAAAACTTGTTCTTTTTAGATATATATGACAGTAGAGTGTATTTAAACATATTATATGTACATAGAGTATAACTTATTCAAATTAGTGCCCCATTCTATTTTTGGGGGGCTATTGGGGATTGAACTCAGGGGCACTCAACTACTGAGCCACATCCCCAGCCTTATTTTGTATTTTATTTAGAGACAGGGTCTCACTGAGTTGCTTAGTGCCTTGCTGAGTTGCTGAGGCTGGATTTGAACTCGTGATCCTCCTGCCTCAGCTTCCGGAGCCCCTGGGATTACAGGCATGTGCCCTTGTGCCTGGCTAGGATCCCGTTCTTGTGGTTGTACATGATATGGAGTTTCACTGGTGGTGCAGTCATTTGTGAACATAGGAAATTATGTCTGATTCATTCTACTGTCTTTCCTATTCTCATTCCCCCTCCCTTCCCTTCATTCCCCTTTGTCTAATTCACTGAACTTCTATTCTTCCTTCCCCTCTTATTGCGTTTTAGCACCCTCAAATCAGAGAGAACATTGGCCATTAATTTTGGGGGATTGGCTTATTTTGCTTAGCACGATAGTCTCCAGATCCATCCATTTACTGGCAAAATTCATAAAGCCATTCTTTTTTATGGCTGAGTAAGATTCCATTGTGTATATATACCACATTTTCTTTATCCATTCATCTGCCAAAGGACACTAGGTTGGTTCCATAGCTTAGCTATTGTGAGTTGAACTGCTATAAACATTGAGGTGGTTGCAGTGTTGATTGATTTTTAAAACTGAATATTGAACTAGCCTTCCATTCTTGGAAGAAATCCCATCCTCTCTCTTTCTATCCTGGGCTTCACTCTGGGTACACATTACTTCCATCAGAAGCTGCCAGAACTCAAAGTTTTAGAGAAAAACTCATACCAGTCCCCAAGAAAGGCAGGATCATAACTTTTTTCTAACAAATTGAGTGGATGTAGTATATTCTTGGTTATCAAATATACTCATGTAGCTTTGGGATTTGAATTGGTGAATATTCATGACGTGGGCAAAGGCATGATACACACTACAATCCCAGTCACACAAAATGTGATGCTGTGTATCAGGCTTTTCCACGTGCATGTCCTGGAGGGACTGTCCGACCAAGCTGCTGGTGCCTGGATAGCTTTGCTCTTTGCTTGTGTTTTTCTATTTCCTGTAATGTACATGGTAACTTTTATTTTAAAAATTAAAGTTATTTTTTTTTTTAAAAAAAAAGAAGAAAGAAAGACTCATACCTGATTCCATTTTCTCCTTTTTCTGGCTTCTTGTTAAGCCCATCCTTTACCTGAGAGAGAAAAAAAAAATAGAAAAACACTTCCCATATCTCAACCATTAGAATCAGTTCACGTGAACATTTCAGCCCTGAGGAGAAGGACACGACCCTCATCCCGGGCGTTAAGGCATCATGAGCACCGGGGAGGCTCCCTTCAGCCCTGCTCTTCTTCCAGGCTAACCTGTACCTTTAGGAGTCTTGATCCTCGACTGCCCATGGTGCCAAAGAACACTACTCCCAAGGATTTAGGACAAGCCACTCAACAGCTCCCTAACTAAGCCAGTGACCAAGGGAATCAGCTGCAGGTCGCAGTTTCGTGGAGGCTTACTTACACCCTCGAAAAAAGAGCCCGAGTCTCCCTCTCGAGTTCAGTGCATCCCTCCTTTACGTGCTCAATGGCATCATGTGTGTGTCTCCATGTTCTTATCAGATATTTTGTATGGATTTTATTGCTTGTATCTGAAATACTCTGTTTTTCTAGAGATTGCTCTAATTTGATGCAAATTTTTTTAAAAAATGAAATTAAAGATATATTTAAAACTTTGTCTCAAAAAGACCCTGAGAACACACCTATGTACTATGTGTGACACACACACACACAAATGTGCATACATAGCGCACACGCATGTGCACACATACACATCATACCATGCCCAGTTCTTTTTTAAAAAATTAATTAATATTAGCCCTTCCTACCCACCAAACTGTTACAGGAAGTCAACTGACTTGTGTTCTTGAAAAGGATAGAAGCTGAGGATTATCTGAGGTCAAACGAAGTCACACCAATAGCAAGCTGTGTCACAGTCGCTAACAGCATCAGTGTCAAGGACTCACCACTCGGTACTGACTAGGTGCCCACACTAGAAGGGTGTAGCGATGGCCCTTCTCAAAGTCCTGAGTTACTGTTGAGACTGGTGACCCGGTGGAAGAAATGTTGATGCTTGTCAGCTTGTTTACATCAAAAGGCATATATTCCTTGGTCTGAGGGTAGAGGGAGGAGTCAGAGTCAATACCAGGGTCCTGTTATGCAACGTGCATTTGACCTTTGCGATAGCATGTTATTTGACATACAAGTTTCCAAGTTCATGTTCACACACACCGAAAATGCATTGTGGAGAACTGAAGTTTATTCCTCTTAGCCTCCCAATAACCTTCATGAACTGTCATGAAGTTTTTTAGTATTCCACAAGATTCTACTTTTCATCAAGCATTTTAGTTATTATTTTTTTAATATTTATTTTAGTTGTAGTTGGACACAATACCTTTATTTTACTTATTTTTATGTGGTGCTGAGGATTGAACCCAGGGCCTTGCACGTGCCAGGTGAGCGCTCTACTGCTGAGCCACAACCCCAGCCCCTTACTTACTGTTTTATAAAAATAAGTGCTGTGGAAATGATTTCTACCATTGCACAAACAACAGCATCAGGGGAGAAGCAAGAGCCCTGGTGGGACTCAATCCTGGCTGTCCCAAGCATCGGGACTCAGACTCTTAACCTTCAAGGTTACTAGTTTGGCAGGGTCTAAGGTAATGGATCCAACCGTGACTGATGAGGAATTAGAGCGGCTCATGTAATCTTGGGGTTAGGACCCAGGTATCAAAATTTTCAAAGCTCTCCATGTGATTCCAGTCTGGATTTAAGATTGAGAACCAGAACAATGCTGTCAAGAGCAGGGTTTTCTGACCTTGGCACTGCTGACCTTTGAGTGAGATAACTCTCTGTCACGGAGGACCATCTGTCAACATCACTGACTCCTACATATGAGATGCCAAGAGCATGTTCCTAGTCACAATGACAAAGAGTATCTATAGAGGTTGCCAAATGTCCCTTAGGGGAAAGTCACCCCTTTAGAATGTGGACCTTCCCTGATGTTTGGAGTGTGGTTTTTGTGTAGCAACAGAAGCAGAACCCAAGAGCTTGTGGGCACACAGCATTGCAGATGTGCTGACTTAGAACCTGAGTTCTCAAGAGCTCCCAGGGCATCTGCACTTCCACAAAAGCTGGAGGCCTGCTGGTTTAGGGTACATGACATCAAGAGATTTGGACATTTCCCTCCTGGGCTGGTCTCGGGTAGTATCCAAGGACCAAGAGAAACACCTTCTCCAAATCCTATTATAACTCAGGCCAGAAGATGAAAAAGAAAGTGACATTTCCCTCCACTTACTTGAGACATTTGGCCAAGTGTCACCATCTCTCCAGGAAAAGATATAGTCATATTATCATTTCCTATATTCAAGACTTTAATTTGGACTTCGTTTCCTTGGGGGAAGACTGGAAGAGTTTTCTGAGGGGGAAAAAAAAAGCAATAGACAGTGAGGTCTTCAGGGATCACTGAAGATCATCCACATCCCCCTTCTGGGTCACTGAGGATCATCTACATCCCTTCAGCCCTTGAAAGCTGCACTGGCAGATACGCCCCCACCCCACTACCCAAATTGATCACTTCACTGGCCTCCTGGCAACCAGAGAAAAGGAGAATTTGGAAGTAACTGGAAAGAACTGCTCTTGCCTCATTTAGCCACCTCTAGGTCAGCAGAATCCAAGTTATGAAGCCTAATATTGGAGGGGGTCAGAGAAACTGCAGTCTTAAGGAACATGTCTCCATCAGGGCACCTGGGGTCTGCTCTCTCTGACTCCTGTGTCCTCTCTTACAGCTCTGGAAGCTCCATCCATAGCCTGGACACGGTTGGTACTTTGGCTATCTTCTCATAAATGCTTTCTGTCCTTGTGCCTCCACGCCTGTGCTCATGATTTCTGGTCTTTTTTCTGCTCTGCTGTCTGTTAAATGCAGCGCCACTGGGGCGATGCATGTCCACATCAGGCCTCGCTTCATCTTCCACCAAGCTAGCTATGGGCACGAGAGCAGGAGTACATGCATGCTCACAGCAGCATCGTTCACAAGATCCAAGGGGTGGAAGCACCCAGGCGTCCATGGACAGATGAACAGATAAACCAAATGTGCGGTACCCACATAGTGGACTATCATTTAGCTTTAAAAGGAAGGAAATCCTGTTACAACCTGGATAAACCTGGAGGACATTATGCTAAGTAAAATAAGCCCATCCATAAAGGACAAACACTCCGAGATCCCACTTAGAGGAGGTGCCTGGAGACAGGAAGTGAGACGTGGTTGCCAGGACGTGTGGAGAGCTGCTGTTAATGAGTACAGAGGTTCATCTGGGAAGATGAAGTTCTGGAAGCAAATGGCGGGGATGGTGCTAATCGCGTGGATGTACTTAATGCCCCTTAAAAATGGATCAGATGATGTTTTTCATGTTAGCATATTTACCACAATTAAATTTTTAAAAAAGAAATTAAAAGAGAAAGGTGGGGAGAGAGAAACAAAGTAAAGACACAGAAATAGAGAGCGAAGCCCTCTCACCTCTTTTCTGGCACCACATGCCCCCCACTTCTAGAACCAATGTCTGATCTCTTCTAATGAAGCCCACACATCGACCCCCTTCCCAGCTGCACCCTTGCAGGGGTGAGTCCATAGTGTTTACGGACTAACAGCGACTGTTCTGCCCCTTGCCTCTCACCATCTGCAGCTCCAGGGCTTAGACCTCCACACAGGGGGAGATCCTGGTCTCCCCTAATCCTCTAGACCCAGAAGGAGAAGATCTGAGTGCGCTGCCTGAGCCCAGCAGCAAAGGACGCTGGAGACTCAAGGAAAACTCACATCGATTTCCACCTGCACAATTGCAGCCACCACAAAGGCCATGGAAGCCAGGAACATCCCAACTGTCATCTTCTTCAAGGAGCTGATTGGGACAAGAAGAAAGTGAGCCTCAGCCAGTTCCATATGGATGCACTAAGGAGAGGCGGGGGGGGGGGGAGGGGGGAAACGCTCCCCCAACAAGACTGGCTTTCTTATAGAGGCACATGAGCTGGAAAGTGTCTCTCCCCTTATTCCTATTGAGACTACGGAGGGCCCATGAAATGCAACTTTTCATTTGCATTTTTACATTTAATTTCTAGAAACTACAGTTCAGGTGGTACTCGGAATCACAGTGAACATTTTGTCATCTACATACAAAGGAGAACCTTAATTAGAGGCCTTTTCAGGCTGCCATCAATACAATTTTGTTTTAAAAGATTTCAGAAATATCAGCATACAAATATCTGATTTATTCATTTCCTTTAAAACCCCGCCATTGAGGTGGCTGGTGGGAGGGACATCCTCCTAATGCACTAGGGGGCAAAGAGGGCGCAGCCCCTGGAAGGTGTCTCAACCATCCCAAACCAACCAGGCACCTACGTGAAATTGAAGCCACATTTTGCAATCAGAGGGTACACCACAGCATCTACGATGGGGACCATGATGACAATCAAGATGGCATTCACAGTCTGCAGAGGAAGCAAGGGAAGATGTTAACACAGGCTTGAGGGCCACCTGGATCTCTGAAAGCAACATGTTTTCTGCTTACCTGCATCTGATCCGGCTGAATTTCAATAACTCCCTAAAAAGAGGTGTGAAGGGTCACATTAAAAAATGTCATGAAAGGGAAGGATGAAGAAGACAAAGGGACTGAAACAGAAGAGCAGCGACCAGGGAAGGTGAACCACCACACCGGCCCAGACTTACAATTCTCCCGTTCATGGTGGTTGCTTGCAGTGTCCACCGGGAGCCCTAAACACAAACACAGTCACTGCATCAACCGGGAAGGTGGCTTTGAACATTTTACTAGTCATGGTGGATCTTTTCTAAATCAGGAATGAGGTCTGAAATGTTTAAAGTTGTCCACTATAACGCTAGGTACAAGGAAGCAAGAGCACTTCTGTTAACAAGGGACCTCAACACAGAGCTCCAGCTCCTCGTGAGGACACAGCAAGCCCCACCCTGAGATGAAGCCACCTGCAGCAGATGCCAGAACTGCAGCAGATGTGCAGAACTGGGCTGGAGAGCGCGGCCCACGGCAGGGAGGGCAGCTTTGTGCCCTGCGCCAGTCCCCACTCTCTGGCATCAGCATTAACAATGCTGGGATTGTTTAAAGCTGGTTTTGACAGTCTGGAAGTAGACCCACAACAAGTCAGTGGTGGGTATAAATTTGGGCAGCTGAGTTATAATCCACCTATTCTATGACTGTTTTAAGGCTGAACATGCAAATGTTTCAATATGAATCTCAACTCCACCAGGAGGGAATCATGGAAAGCTGGGAAACCGGCCTGTTTGAGCTCTTAACACATCAGCCACGGAGTACTTTATAGACAGTCTCTTAATTTGATCTCACTGCCTCGAGCTGGGCTCTTGTGACCTGTTCAGAGAGTTACAAGTTTTTACTGAGACTCCCAGCTACTGAAGTCTGATTCCAGAAGGCTCCTATCCAGCTGTGAGGCTGCTTCTCTTTCCCTATGGGGAGGGGGTCTAAACCTCATATTTACAAATAAGGAGATTAATGTGCATGTTCAATTTTTTTCCAAGTGATGATTTACCCTTACAGTGAGGCTCGCTGTACAATGAAAACACATATTCGCCATTTTGTTTTTAAACTTCAGTTTCTAAAAGAAACAACATTTTATTGCTTTGGCTGCTGAGCCCCATGCACTGGGCTGATGTTACTGTGCCAGGTTCCCGTGTATGTCCCACAGCTGTGGGATGAAGAGCAGAGCAACAAGCCGCCCATCTGGTCTGGGTCCCTGCTCTGGGGGATGACTCTGGTGTGGTCATTTCACATCACTGGTGGAACTTCTAGTTCAAGCGTTCCATTTTAAAGTGGAAGATATCAGTCATCTCTGTCTAAATGTGCCATGGATCCTGTCAAAGGCCATGCCTCTTTTTGCAAGCTGCATCAGTAGGAAAATAAGCTCTTTTTTCTCTCTCTTTCTTTCCCCATGGTACTGGGGATTAACCTAGAGATGCTCTACAACTGAACTATATCTCCAGTCTTTTTTAAAAACTTTTTAAATTTTGAGACAGAGTCTCATTGAGTTGCCCAGGCTGGCCTTGAACTTGTGACCCTCCTGCCTCAGCTTCCTGAGTTGCTGGGATCACCGGTGTGCACCAACACAATTGGCAGGAAAGCAAACTTTCTTAACCCTCAGTTTTGATTGGCCAGATTGCTGGCTGCTCTGATGAAATCTTCCCCAAGGCTACTTTACTTGACTACACCTCATTTTCTTCATTGTTTTGCAAGAGAAATGTGGACAGAAGCTTCCAGAATTTTTTTAAACAAACTCAATGTGATCTAACAACTAAATAAATTATACAAAAAAGAAATTGGTAGAGAACGTTTTTAGGAACTAAAAACTAACTATGACTCAGTACATGGTAGTGCCCAAAGTATGTTTGCTAAACAAAGATAATTGGAAGCATTACCTGCTGATCAAACAGGGCCCAGAACATCGGGAGCGGAATATACAGGAACATCACCCTCGTAACCATCTTAATTTGAGAGATAAGCCGCTCCTGTAGGGGGGGACAGATCAGCCACAACTGTGTCACTCAGAGTGTTCAGGCACAGCTTGGTTTCAGTGTTGAGATATTTGCATCTAGAGATGAGTGGGGAGGTGATTAATTGTTCCAAAAAACACTAACACAAGTTTCGGGAAATTTCTAAGCTAGAGAAAATATCTGTTTAGGAGGAAAACTCCAACTTGCTACATGTAAATCCGCTCAATGTAAATCCCACCACTGCCATCACCACCCCTTAACTTCTATATTCAGACGTAGGGTACAGGATCACAATCACCTATAACTACTGGCAGATTACATCAAACGGAAAGCCAATACTGCTTCAGATAAATTATATCCATTGTTTACCAAATTGTTAATTTTTTAAAAGTAGCGCTCATGCCTACTCTTACTTGACGCGCTAACAAGGTCGGGAGGGTACAACTGGTCATTTTACCCATCAGGCTTCATGCTCCCCTCTCTGGAGGAGCTGTAGCAAGGTGGTTACTTACATCATATTTCTCCTTAGCCCAGTCCAGCCAGTGCTCTCTCTTGGGAAATTCCTTACTTCGGTGCCTAAACCTGTTTTTGATAGAAAACTAAAGGAAGAAAAAAAATCAAATTTCAGAACAGAACCAACTATTTCATCAGAGGAATACATATCAATTAATCTCCCCCCTTTAAGGGAAAAATATATGAGAAAATCAAAATATAAAATTGTATATAGCAGCGTAATGAGCATGTTGAAGACACAACTGATGAATTTGTTTCTAGACTTTTTTTTTTTTTTTTGCCCTGGAGATTGAACCCAGGAGTGCTTCACCACTGAGCCACATCATCCACAGCCCTTTTTATTTTTTATTTTGAGACAGGGTCAAAGGTTGCTTAGGGCCTGCTGGAATTATAGGCATGCCCATTGCACCTGGCTGTATCTAGACTCTTTGCGATTAAGATTAAGGGACTGTCAGGGCTTCTCTCCAGATCCTCTATAGAGGCGTGTTCAGTAGGAATACAATGCAAGACTCATTTGCAACTTAAGTTTCCTAGTAGCCAAAGCAACAAGTCAAAGTCAAACAGGCAAAATTTCTTTAAAATATATTTTATTGAACTCAATAATCCCCAAGTATGATTTTAATATACAATATATTAAAAATTAATGAGAATTTAAAATTCTTTTTTCATACTAAGTCTTCAAAATTAGGGGAGTATTTTCTACCTATGGCATATCTCAATTTGGTTGCTCAATTTTTTATCAGAAATATGTCACCTATATTCAGATTTCATTAAGTTTATGTTTGAAAAATTAGATTTACATACTAGGTTGTTCCAAACATACTTAAGAGCTTCCTGATAACTGAATTGAGCCTTGTTTTCAAATTTGAGTAAGAACCCACTACACAGAAATACATATGTAAGAAAATAAAGTAGGGTTGGGATGTGGTTCAGCGGTACAGTGGTTGCCTCACAAGTGATATAGTGCAAAGTCCTGGGTTCAATTCCCTGTACTAGGAAGATAAAAAAGTTATAGTCAAACATATCTCATATTTATAGAGGGTAACAGATCATAGAAACATGCTGACCCATCATGAAATGAGAAGCCACTGAGATTCCTCACCAGGGTTTCTCAAGGGAACTCTTGAGGGAAAGCAAAGTGCATCTACAAGACACAGCAGGGAGGGGGGTGTGGTCACGGCCAGGGACAGGTGGGTGACTAAATGCAACAATCCAGACAGACCTGTGGGCTGATTTTAGGACACAGGGCAGTACAGTTCTCACGACTCTAAGCAGTTCAAAGTTGTTCTTTGGAGGTTTAAACCAAGCTGTCAGTTACTTTCCTCTTTGCCTGGAAAAACCTCTCTGGTGGGAATAGATCGAATGCTAAAGGAAATGGGAAAGCTGCCCCTGAGGCATTGGTTTTTTTGTTTTTTTTTTGACAAGGAGGGGGCACATGGCAAAATAGACCACATAATCTAATGCAATAAGGCCAGACAAAAAGGAAGAGCATGATTTCAAGTTATCTTAAGGCCACATTTTCATTCAAAAGATAATCCACATATTAAAAAAATGATAAGTGACACATTTCCCCCCAGTTATACAATATATGTGTTCACTAAAAAAGGAGGGTTCTATCGTGTAAAGATTCCTATTCTCAACATTTATCTCCTACATATGAATGTACCTGAATGTACATATCTCATGTAGATGCATATGGAAGAAACCAAATTCTGCATATTCCCATCATTAAATATTCTTTGAAAACAAGACTTGTGATGACTACATGAGATGTCAAAGATACACTGTCAGGTGAGCATCCTTTTCCTATTTTCAGCAATTTGTTGTATATAATATTACAATGATATCCTTTGTATATGAATCTGCATCCATTTAAAAATTTATTTTCTTAGCCTTATTTCCTGAAAGTAGCATCACAGACCCTTAGCATCTGAGCACTCTTGATACATTGCAAAACTGAGCCCCAACTTTGTTTTACTGCTCCCGAAAAAACAGAAGGTATCGTCTGTCAATTTGATGAAGAGTCATTTTATTGGCTTTTCTTTGACAACTTTAGTTTAAAAGCCATTTCCATTCCTCCCTTTTAGAGTTCTGTTTGTGTGCTTTTCCATTTGGTAAGTTTCATGAGAAGTTTATGATTTAAATTAAAACTTATCAAAATAGGGACACTTAAAATATGTTTAAAGGAAAGTCAAAGTTTAATTGAATTTTAACATAAAGGATGTAGAAGGTTTGGGGGTGATTAAAATGTCATGGAAAGGTACTGAAATACTCACACCAATGCATTTGACCACTTTACCCATGATGTTGCCCTGTGGCTGGAACTTTTTGTACATTCTACTGCCGATGACAAATACAACTGGACAGGGGAAAAAAATAAGAACAAACACCAAGGCTTAGTATCATCTATCAACCTCACAGAACCTAGGGCAGCCTGCAGACACCCAGTATAGCTATCTGAGCCAGGCCCTGGCTGTTTAAAGGGAGACAATATGTGCAAGGTGAATGCATTGCTCTCAAAGACAATGAACAGAGCTCTAATTTTCTGGCCACAATGGCAAGTGAGATTTTCTTCTTATCATTATTTTTCTTTTTAATGTTAAGGAAAATAGAAATTAATGTGTTGAAACTTTTACTTAATCATATGTGACAGTTTTTCCCCTGTATTCACTGTACAGAAGCACAGTTATAATTAGGATCTGCATTAAGTTTTGCAAAAGTTGGAAACAGCCATTTTTCATGGATTTTCTTAACCAAGGCATAGTACGAAAACAATGTAGAAAAGAGCATCTCTACAAGAGATTCTGAAAACACAGTTCTTGTGCTAGAATTTTTGATTATCTAATACCATAATTCAATAATTAAAAACACCAATGGATTCTTTCTATTCTTGCCCAATGCCAACCTTTCTCAACACATGGATGGTGAAGATGTCCAATAGATTGTGTCTACATTTTCTTTTGCAAAGGAATATTTCAATTTCTTAATAAACTGAAGCCTAACTGAAGCACAGAAATTTTAGAGATTGTGCTCATATATAGTATTTGGTTGGTTCTCAATTTTTCAATTAAAAAACAAGCATATTGGGGCTGGGGATGTGGCTCAAACGGTGACGCACTTGCCTGGCATGCGTGGGGCGCTGGGTTCTATCCTCAGCACAACATAAAAATAAAATAAAGATGTTGAGTCCACCGAAAACTGAAAAATAATATTTAAAAAATTCTCTCTCTGTCTTAAAAAAACAAACAAACAAGGATAAACTTTACCTAAGAATGACCTATACAGACTCAATGAGAATTTACTCAAAGTGCTCAATACAACATCTGGTATAGTAGGATCTTTAAAATGCTCTCTCCTGCCCAGAATTAGAGGAGGAGGAGCATAGACAAGCATTTTAGGGGAAGGTGGCAGTATTTGAGGATTATGGAAGAAAGAGCCATACTGAACAGGGGGGAATTCTGAACTCACATAATTGTAACGACAAAGCGAAATTGCTACAGCACGAGCACAGGAGGTTAAAAAAAATCAGCCTACTCAATTCTAGTAAGATCTGAAAACAGAAATGGGAGAAAGCAACGCCAATGCCGGCAGCTCCCTTGCTAGAAAGGAAAAGGTGCCAGGAAGACCCAAGACAGCATTTGACTGTCCTGGTACTGCCATCTTCCTAGCCAGACTGCCCCTTGTAGGAAACCTTCACACTTCCTAAAACGCCAATGCCAAGAACTAATCTAACTGTATCTAATATGTACACATCTTCCTCCCAGAGGGAAGGAATTCCAGTAGAAGCATTTGGGGAGGCTGGATTATGGAATTGTACATGCTCAGTGGAAGTATTTCAGTGGCCATTGAACTAGGTTGCCATTTCTTCAAGGGCTGGAGATGTGCACACGTTGACAGGAAGAAAAGCTTCTGGCCACAGGAACAGCCAGTCTAGCAGATTCTACCACCTTCACCTTCCTCTTCCTAATTGGTACCAAACATTTCATGTCCAACTCAGATGGTTCATTTCCCTGCAAACCCTTTTTTTGATCCTATCCACTCTGAAATGAGAGGCCAACTCTGCTTCCTTCTCTCTGAGAGAGCACATTGAACACTGAATGGCAATGCTTCACACTATTTTTTTTTTACAACTCATTATATGGACTTCAAAAATATTAGTCTCCATAATGAATGTGGGGCCTGATCTGGTTGTAGGCTAGTGTTAACTCAAGTAATTTCCACTTACTTAGGGAGACGGCCATGAGAGCAGCAGGAACCCCAAATGCCAGTGGGTAACATGCTTGCTGACTGTGAATTCCACATTGTTGAACTGGGGAGAAAGTATGAGATTAAAATTGATCATGGCATTGGTAATGCATGGATAGTTCCCATTTCTAAAAGCCCCTCACTATTGTTACATAGTATTTTTTTTTTGAGAGAGAGAATTTTTTAATATTTATTTTTTAGTTTTCGGTGGACACACATCTTTATTTTATTTGTATGTGGTGCTGAGGATCGAACCCAGCACCCTGCGCACGATAGGCGAGCGCACTACCGCTTGAGCCACATCCCCAGCCTGCCCTGTTACATAGTATTTTCACTTAAGGTTCAAGACATCCATTTGCCTTACTGATGTCATTGCCAGCTGCATTGTAGAAAGAGCAGGAGATGGAGGCAGATTCTAATCTTAGCCCCTAAATAGATGTGTGTTTGCTGTATGGGTTTTCTAAGTGGGGGAGATAAATATGATCTGGGTACAATGACTCCAATATAAGGGACTCAGTCAATAAAAGCTATGTGCCCTGGAAAGTCAATATCGTATGTCCCTATATGCATGCCAAATAAGTAACCATTAGAGGACTTCGGGCAGGGGTTGACAATACTTTCTGTGATATCTTAGGCTAGGTATCTTAGGCTTTGGGGACCATTTGATCTTGGTCACAACTCTTCAGCTCCAGTTTTGTTTTTTTTTTTTTGGTACTGGGATTGAACCCGGGGACACTTAACTACTGAGCTACATCTCTAGCCCTTCTTTTTGTTTTTATTTTTTTGTATTTTACTTAGAGACAGGGTCTCACTGAATTGCTTAGGGTTTCACTAAATTGCTGAGTGCCGGCTTTGAACTTGTGATCCTCCTGTCTCTGCCTCCCGATCCGCTGGGATTACAGTTGTGCGCCACTGTGCCTGGCTTCAGCTCTGCCTTTGTAGGAGGAAAGTAGTCAGAGACAAACCTAAATGATGGTCTTGCCCAGATTTCTGGATCTGGCCCCAGGGCCATTGTTTGCCAACTTCTGAGGGCTATTTCAGCTCTGAAATCTTAGGATTGGTAAGGAAAACTATCAAGGCTTTGTAAGAAGCAAGAGAGATTACTAGAAATCCTTCCGTGGGAGGCTGTGGCCTCCACAGTGATCCAATCTTGTAGGGGTTTTGACTCTGCCTAGCTATTTCACAATTCTTTTTTTTAATTGTTTTTAGTTGTTGATAGACCTTTATTTATTTAATTTATTTATTTATACGTGGTGCTGAGAATCAAACCCAGTGCCTCACACATGCCAGGTTAGTGTGCCACTGCTGAGCCCCAGCCCTAGCCCCAGCCCTAGCCCCACTATTTCACAATTTTGTAGAGAAAAAAGTTAACTAGTAGAAAAGTTCTGGTTATGCCAATAATTCCTGTTTGTGGCAATGCAAAATAATTTCTCCCCGTAAAGAATCAAAATCTGTTAATCAAATCCTTATTTGAACAGATTGTAAGAAGTTCACATTCCCTGATGAATTAATAAGTAATACAAAATCTCTGTCACATGCTCATTTTATATTTGTATGAGAATCATCACTTTATTTCAGAAAATCATCCTTTAACATATTCCATTATTCAAACATGCATGGCACCTACTCCAGAAGAAGCCGGAAGTGGGAGATGTATGGGGACAGAACTCAAAAATGAAAGCTATTAATTTTTTTAAAGTTGTAGATGGACACAATACTGTTATTGTTTTATTTTTATATGGTGCTGAGGATCAAACCCAGCGCCTCACACACGCAAGTCTACAACCCCAGCCCGAAGGCTGTTAAATCTTATACAAAAGAAACTGGGGATGGGGCTTAAGTGTCAGTCATCTTCAAACTTACTCTAGGCAGAAATACATGAATTCCTATAAAATATTTTATTTCATAACTTAATCTTATCCAAGTATGGACACCATGGTTTTGTTAATTTGCCCTAAATGACACTAAATACTCCTTTCCATGTGGGAAATTGACGATCTTTGAATTGCCCATGAACAAACACAGAGATCTGAGTGGGGCTGGTGGTTATTGACACTGTCTTGTTCTTTCTCTGGGTAGTTCCTTTTGTTCTTTTTGGAAATACTCAAGATGTCAGGAAAGTAAAAGGCAAAACTTTGCCCGCTAAATTCTTCCTGACTTACTGGGGAGCAAAGCTTGAAGGCTGTAATGCCGATCAGAGCCCACAAGGCAAACACCTTCTATATAAATATATATTTATTTGTTTATTTTAGTTGTAGATGGATACACTATCTTTATTTTTATTTATCCATTTTTATGTGGTGCTGGGGATCAAACCCAGGGCCTCACACGTGCGAGGCAAGCGCTCTACCACTGAGCTACAGCCCCAACCCGGCAAACACCTTCTTGACTAATCTCTCACCATGAATAAGGACGTCACATTAGGAAAACATTGAAAAGACTGATGCCTATGCTGGGATGTTTTAGTCTCTCCAGTGGTCACTGGAATACAGGAGGCAAATAAGATTAGAAAAGGAGAGAAACCTGAGAGAAAAGAAGCTCAGACTCTGGATTTTGATGTCCATCCCAGAATGAATTGCACTAGACTTTAAGGAGAGAAAAGACAACAGAACAACAAGAAAGGGCTCCCCTTTCTACCCGCCTTCCCCCCGACAATCAGTGAAGGGAAGACAGGCCCCGTTCAGATATTCTTACCCCTGAGAATGGGAGTGATGATGGTAGACAACAGACTTCCAGCATTAATGGCCAAATAAAAGACGGAGAAAAATCTGTTTCTTTGCTTTTCCTGTCATAGAAAAGAGAGGTGAACATGATGACCTGGGCTTGGGATCATCTGAGCAGATGGAGCTGTTATCTGACTTGACTTCTGACAGCTTTGGTCAGTGTCTTACTTTCAAGCATATTTGAAAATGATGGAGTGGAGAACAGACTGAGTGTCCGTGGGTTTGATCCCTGGAGGGTTATTACTCATTGACGTGCTTTCTGCTGAGACATGTGTTCTTACCTGGCCCTCTTCAAATTGATCACCGCCAAATGCAGACACACAGGGCTTGATTCCTCCTGTACCAAGAGCTATCAGGGCCAGGCCGATCATGGACAGCGCCCTGGAGAGAGGAGGGTTAGGGCTAAGGTGGCAGGACTTTAGAAGAGGGAGCCTGTCCCCTGATTCATATTTTATCTAATAACTTATCATCCAGAAAATTGAAAGCAATAGCTTGATATTTGAGCAAAGACTTATGTGTGGAATCTTGTAGCCTTATCTCTTCTAGCAAAAGAATGGGTAAATGAAAAATGCTAATACAGGGATTGGGAGGATGCTCAGGGGTAGAGTGCATGCTTAGCATCACAAGGCCCTGGGCTCAGTTTTCAGTGCATGTGCATACACGGAATGTTAACTGGACAAGTGTAAGCCCTGCATCTTATGCAATAAAAATGGACTCACAGTAGTCATTAAATGATGTTAGAAAACAGGATTTCATTACAAAGCAGAATATCAGTTTATAGAATGATCTTAATTTGCTTACAAAGTACAGAAGACTGAAAAGAAATTGAGCAAAAGATTGACTATGCCAAGATCCCTGCCTATCTCAAGACTAGCAAAGATGCTATGTTCAGCTCCATGGTCTAGACAGCAAGATGGTGCAGAAGACCCTATCTCAAAATAAAAATGAAAAGAGGCTGGGAGCCCAGTGCAGTGGCGCACACTTATAATCGCAGTGGTGCACACCTATAATCCCAGTGGCTGGGGAGGCTGAGGCAGGGGGATCATGAGTTCAAAGCCAGCCTCAGCAAAAATGAGGCACTAAGTAACTCAGTGAGACCCTGTCTCTCAATACAAAATAGGGCTGGGGGTGTGACTCAGTGGTCAAGTGCCTCTGAGTTCAATCCCCGTACCAAAAAAAGAAAGAAATTAAAAAAGGCTGGGATGTAGCTCATTGGTAGAGGGTTTGCCTAGCACAACAACACCTTGGGTTTAATCCCTAGCACTGCAAAAAACAGAAGTTTATTTTTATGTCCAAGTGGTAGAATTACAGATTATTTTATCTTAATTTACTTTTGTATTTTTCAGGTTATCTTAAGCATTTTGTTTCCCAAATTTAAAAAAATATCATGATATTTATCAGTTCTCTTTGTAGTTTTATTAAATTTGCATTTGGGTACCACAAAACTCACATGACAAACATCAATCCTGTATCTTCTTGTTGCTAGTGTGGCTTAAAAACACTTTTTAAAAAGTCATGAAACAGATATGGGCGTGGTGGTGCACACCTATGACCCCAGCCACCTGGGAGGCTGGGGCAGGACGATTGCAAGTTCAAGGCCCGCTTCAGCAATTTTTTGAGGTCCTAAGCAATTACTGAGACCCTGTTTCAAAATAAAAAATAAAGAGGGCTGGGAATGTGGTTCAGTGGTGAGGTATCCCTGGGTTCAACCCCGAGGACAAAAAAAAAAAAAAAGAAAAAAGAAATAGATAAAGTGAAGGCAGATATTACACAGAGAAAGAACCCTTTAAAAGTCACGCATCCCTAATTATTCTTCCCGAGTTCACTAACCCAAGTTCCTGCTCCTCTTTGGATCTGTTTGCCTCTTAATATAACTTACATTTGAAGTGGTCATTCAAAGCATTTTAAAGATGACAAAAACCTGGTCAGTTGAATATTAGATCCTATTTTTACTCTTGTGAGAACTTTAGGGGTGTTCTAACACTAACTGCATGAAACGAAAAACACACAGCTAAGATCTCTTGAGCACCTGTCATCTCTAGGCAGTTCTGGGAGTTCTTCCTGGATTAAACCATGCAGCTCTAGCTGAGGTCAGTACTGATACAAGTGAGGAAACTGAGGCCTAGAGGACCAGACACCTACTGAACACCACACAACTAGTAGGGCACCACCAGATCTGAACCCAGCCTGTCTCCAGTCTATGTTCTTAAAATGACAGTTTACTCAAGGTCATGTCCCGGCTCTGTGGGAAAGCTGGGCTCAGACCCCCGAAGTCTGAGCTGCCTACTGCGCTCATCGCCACTCTCCTCACCAACAACACTGTTCCTCCAGGCACAAGGGGAGGCTCCAGGGCCACCATCTGGTCTGGACAGCAATGATCAACTAAAGTCAGAGATGTGGGCATTGTGGATATGAACTTGAGTTTCAATTATATTTACCCAGCCCAGGAGATCAAAGAGCTTAAGCGCAGGGCAGGAAACAATCTTCATAATTAGTCTCCAAGGCCAGGCAACAGAGAGGGGAATGAACCCGGGAGAGGAGCAATGTCCACACCACTTGCCATCAAGAGTCCAGAACAGATAGCTGGGATAAATATTTATAAAATGGAATTACTAAAAAATAAGCAGATATGTGGTACAGGAGAGGTACCAGAGTCTCGAGGAGACCAGTGGTGTCAAGGACCAAGGCCTGTGAGAGCCACGTCCCTCTAGGGAAACCCAGGGCAAACACAGGTACCCTGCCCACTGACCACACATCAAGTGGGTTATCATGACCCAAGAGAGCCAAGTCAAAACAAGCAACTGTTAGGATGGAGGCATACTGCAAACCTAGCTCTCCATCCAAAACACAGCTTTTCTACACCACCAGAGGGAAGAGCAGCCGCCCTGCTCTCGTGGGGACATTGAGGAACAAGATGAAGCATCAGGACACTGACGAGCAGCCAGTGGGAGGGCGGGGAGGCAGCAGCGATCATCGACTCACACATGCACAGGGAGGCTGTCGGGGGTCCCCTCGTGGTTGTAGTCCGTGAGGTCGTTAATTGAGCTGATTGAGATGATTCCTTGTCCAATTGTGTAGACAATGGATAATGATATAATTGTCCTGAGTTTAGAAGGTTAAGAGAAGCCTGGTTAATTGTATGACGGCTGTCCATTTCCCAGCCTCCTTCCTTCAAAGTTTATAACAGCCCAGTCATAGACTCCTGTTTCTCAACTTGGGTAAAACTGGTCACCTCTCAGAAAGGTGGAGAGCAAAGTTTTGGCTAGAGCACCAGGAGAAGGGGAAAGTCGCGTTGGCATACTCTCTGAACTCTTTCTGCAGGGCTGGGTAGGAGCTTGTCAGGGCTCCCTTATGTAATGGGTCAACTCAGCAACCAGGGTGTGACTCAGGCAGGGTAATGTCTTCCCAGCCCTGAGCTCTGTGTCTCAGATCACTGATGATATACAGGATCCCTGCCTATCACAAGACTAGCAAAGACGCTATGTTCAGCTCCAGGGATATGGCGTCGAGCAGAATCAAGATTGCGGATGCTTTCCCAAAAGTCTGGATTCCTTCATTCCCCGATTCCACCATCCCAAACCACATGACTTACATTTTGGCTTGTTAACAAGAAAGTTCCAATCACTTACTTAAACTTCCCCAGCCATGAGTCGGCGATAAGAGCTCCGAGAATCGGCGTCAGGTAGCACAGGGCGACAAATGTGTGGTAGATGGCCGTGGACAGGTTGTCATCCCAGCCAATGAAATTTGTGAAGTACAGAATCAGGATTGCTTTTTGCAGAGGACAGGAAGAAGAGGAGGGAGAAACAGAGTCAGGGCTGGCTACCACCACTCACGTCCTTCACCAAAGGGCAAGAAGTGGCTAAGAGTTACCTCTCATTCCATAGTAGGAGAATCTTTCACAGAACTCATTGACCACGATGAAGAAGATGCTCAAGGGGTAACCAAAGCAACTCTGACAAAAAGAAACACAGTGGAGGATCCAGGTGTGCTCCCCCAGGCACAAACTAGTGCCAGTGGCGAGGAAAGTGGCCAGTGCATAGTCAGTAAATTATCAGCGACTATCCAGAGGCAGAAACTTGAATTTTATCATTTTTATTCCCTTAGATTAGTTGTTCCAGATAGAAACAGCAATGAGCTAAAGCAGCAAGGTTTACTGTTAGCCAAGCGGGAAGTACACAGCACTCCTAAGGAAGGCCAGCTCTGCTTGATGCCGGATGCACGATACATACATGTTTAGGGAATGAAGCAAAGTCATGAAAAACTAGGAGTAAAATAGACTGTAAAATTAACAAAGTGAAGGCAGATGGAGAAGGAAAAAGCACACTCACCCATGGCTTGGACATTCCTAAAAGAAAAATGAAAAGTTGATATTAAATTTAAGTCAATACAATACTTTTTTCTGCAGCTAAACTCAGAGCCCTTGGCTTCTCGGGGCAGCCAGAGGAATGGTCCCCAACACAGCTGCAGCCCTCTCAGCCAACCCAGCCCCAGCCCCAGCCCTCATCTGGAGTGAGGCTGGGCCTCCGTCTGGTCTTTTAACGAGAGCCTCAGGCAATTCTCGTGTGTGGTTGGAAGAGAGACCAGAGCTCAAAGAATCCTGCCCAAACCATTTCCTCCCGAAAACACTTCAAAGAGCAACAGGGCAAAATGGAACCATTTTACTATGTTCCTTGGTATCTTACAAGGTCACCAGATACCTGTGAGGACAGTGTAGCGGAGGTGGAAAATGTTTTCAAGGGCCACCGTGAAGGTTCAGCCATTGCTCCCTGTCCCCGGCGCCTTCCTTCCAGTGCCCTCGCCACGAGCAGACACTCCAATGACACTCCACTGAACCCATGCAGCGTACACTCAGCAAAGTCCTTGCCCTTCCTGCCCATGCTTGGGTCTAGCCTCTGAGGTCCCTTCGCACATCACAGTGTGAAAACGGGCAGCTCACACTCTTGCCTCCATGTGGATTGAGTCCCTCCCACCAGCGTTGCCACATGCCAGCCTTTTTCACAATACCTCCCACTAGTAGGGGCTGTTGTCAGGGGAATGAATTCAAGGATCAGGAGGAAAAACTGGAAAATACAAGCGAGTTCAGGCAAATCCATAGACTCGACTGCCTAAACCTGAGGCAGGTCCCCATGACCTCAGGAGAAGCGCCAGAGCCCTGCTTCTCTCTCTCTCTCCCCTGAGTTTTGACTAGTAGTGACCTGAACCCACAGTAGTCCTGGCACCTCCGTGCCTTGCTCCCTATGCACATGTCGCCCTATATTTATCACTGCCAGTCACTGCTACGCCCTTCCCCTGGGGGACCAGCCCCTTTTCCCTCCCATTGGTCTCATCTTAGAGTTCTGGAGCTGCTTCCATTAGGGATATGTGGGTCTTAAACAGAAGAGGGTCTTAAACTTGGGTGAGTCTCAGAAACACCAGGTGACTTGTGAGAACCACTGCTGGGCTATGTCTTCACAGCTGCTAACTCTGCAGGACTGGGGTGGACATTTGAGTTTGCATTTCTAACTGTGAGCTCAGGCAGCACGCTGGGAAAACCACTGCACTGGAGAATTAAAAATAATCCTTAAATCCCTATAGTGCCCCACAAGTTGCACACTGCAGCAGAGTTGCCCATTTGAAGAGCAGCTTCCTTGGAAACCAGTGCCAGCCACTGTGGCTTTTGCCTGAGGAAACTGACTTTTCTCTCTACTTAAGGATTGGCATTTCTAATGAGTTCCAAGGAGAGGTGGGTGCTGGGACCACACTTTGACTTTTTTTTTTTTTTTTGTGGTGCTGGGGATTGAATCCATGGCCTTGTACATGTGAGGCAAGCACTCTACCAACTGAGCTATTTCCCCAGCCCTAGGGACCATACTCTGAGAAGCACGTGTAGGCTGTGTTGTCCTGTTGCTCATGGATTTCCGTAAGTCAATTTCATCACTTCTCCGGCTCTGAGTACCAGAGAGACCAGCTGCCCAGAGCAGAGAGCAAATATAGAAGAAGGACACAGCTCCCCACCTCAGTTTCTGCACTATTCCCATTTGGGGCCCTTCCTTGAAGATTTGGGTTGTATTTTCATTATGTGTAACTCCAGAGCTCCATTCCACATATACACAACCGCAGCTTCTCTGGGCAGCTCCCTTCTTACCCACGTGGCTCCGCACAGCTTCCAAACTGGTACCCACTCACCTTCTGCGCAGGAGCATTCCCACCTGTCCCATTACATTGTGCTGGAGTTATCTCTGTCTCCAGCTCAGCCTGGCCCCAGGGGCCTGACACCAGAGGGGCTTAGACTTTTGCCTACTTAGTATTTTAGATGCAATCTTACTCCTTACTCTAAGGAGGGAAATACACTGTCCTGATCTCACAAAACCCTAATCCTCGACTTTTCCTGCTACTTAAGTTCTAGGTGGAGATTTCACAACACTACCAACCTGGTTTTCGCCCTAGTTAGACTTCCTTGGGGGAAGGCATCTTCCAGTGGCCACACATGAAGAATGAGGGCTGCAGACTCAGACCTGTGACTGACTCTCAGTTCTACTTGCCAGTTGTGGCCTTAGACCAGCCAGTCTTTCTTCTGAAGCCCAACAATCAAGGAAGATCACACCGCCACCTTGTCGGGCTGCTGTAAGAATTCAGATCTTGGTGCATCAGAATTGGGAGATGCTACCACTTCAGACTCTTCCACAGAGTGGAAATTAAATGTTGTTGAATAGGCCTCCAAAGAATCCACTCTATCAGTTACCAATACAAGGATCAGATTCTGGCTCTGCCACTCGCTGGTTCCACTCACCCCCATAGGCCTAGCAGCTTCCCTCGCCCCTTGAGGCCGACCTGCCTGGATCACAGCCGTGTCCCCATGGCCCACCATGGCTTCCATTGGGCATATCAGAAAGAGGGAGGAAAAATCAGAGTATTCATTTTTTTCTGGCACCCTCCTTACCAAGTCCCCTCAGACTGGCTGTGTCCTCAAGTGACAGTCACTGCTACTCTGAGGCTGTCCACTGCACCATGACTCTCTCTCTCTCTTTCCAGTTTTCATGACTTCCTTCCCCCATCCCCCAGGTCTCGAGGTGGTAACAGGGAGACCCACTATCGTTTGTGGACCCTCACCCCACATTGTCCAAATGGACTTCTTTAAACAAACCGTCCTTTTGAGTATGCCACACGATTCCCAAGGGGACCCTGGTGATGCGGTACACCAACTACAGACTCTACCTGCTGTCATCTTGCACTACGAGACAGGAAGGAGTTTCCCTTGCCAGAGAAATTGGAAGGACCCATTGTGCAAACAGTTTTTTTAAAAAAGCTGAACCATGAACCAGGCTATTGGTATCACTCAGAGCCCTATTTTGGTGCATTGGTTTTGTGCTTTCTCAGGACACAGCCGTAGCCTGCAGCACCTGCCTACTTAGGCTTCAGACACCCTGGCCTCACCATTGCCTCCAAGACAAAGCAAGGGGCGAGGCCCACACAAAAGCCCATCCATGGCAAAGCAGGAAGAGGGCTGAAACCCAGCCAGGAGACGGCCAAGCTTCATCGTAACATCCTCCTGTGCTCCTCAGAATTTTGGTTCACACAGAAAGACTTCATTTCTCTGGGGTGACCGTGCTTTCTTACTAAATATCAATGTATCACCTAATATCTGTTAAATAATATTTACTTCAAACATAAATTGGAGTACAGAAAAGAGACCAAAGTGTTCAGGGAGCTTAGACCTTATGTGAACAATCATCACACTCAGAACCAAATCAGGAAAAAAAATTCCTGAACTCACTCAAGCGTGAGCACTGGTCCTGGTCACCACTCAGGAAGTATTTTATGTTCTGAAAGGCAAGTATTACCGAGAACTACTTTTATTGTACAGGGTGGAGGCTGCTGAGCTCATCTGTTATAGAATGCAGAGCTATCTGCTGGACCTCTGCTGCAGCCAGCGCTTCTTATCTACGAGACCTGCGACAACAAGGTTGCTATCTTGGAAAGGCCAAGTGCAGCACAGTGCACAAAATCCCAACTGTTTACCTGGGTGCAATTGTGCTTGTAGCTGGTATCCTGGCAGTAAATCAAGTGGTCCCATGTGTCTGGAATGGCTCTTAGATCACTCAGATTTCAGGACTGATTAGAGCCAAGCCTAGAATCCAGACGCCTTGTCTAGGGAGCTGAGCCGGCACCATGAACTCAGAACAAACGCTGGTCCTTATTGTTACTCTAAGCCTTGAAGTGGTTTTGCCTTTCTTTTGTTCAAAAAAAATTTCATAAGTGTAGATTACACATTTCTAGATTATTGATTTGGGGGAGTGGTGTGGGGAGACAGAGAAAGCAGGAAGAAAATAAGAGACTCCACTGATCCCTACTACTTAGGAAAATCTCTCCATTAATATGAATATTTTCTACTGTTTATAAAACAGCTTGTTTCATATTTTGAATCATTTAGGGACAGAATCTCCAGTTTTAGTGTTTTACTACCTGGAAATCATTGGTCACGAGTGGACTAACAGTGGGAAGGTGTTGTGCGCAGTCAGCTGTCGTGTGAGGTTGGGGAGCGTATTTGCACAAACCAGGTGGGACAGCCCACCACGCACCTAGGATCTAGGGACACCTTAGGGGAATATATGCTCTGACATCTACCCGAACGTTACGGGCGCATGACTGAACTCCCTCAGCGACACAAACAGCACAGACAGTGCGATTCTAGGAGCTGGACTTGGGAAGTTGGAAGGAAGGAACGAGGCACTGTGCTGGGGCCTGAGAGAGCGCTCACCTTACCCTCAGGGGCAGGTGTCTCCTGTCCCTACCTAGCACCCAACTGAGGGAACAGCATCCGCTCTTCATGTTTTAGGAATGGTTTTTGAAGTTGTATGGTGGTGTAGACAGAAGAGTGTCCCAGAGATGTCCACATTCTAATCTTGGGATTGGCGGATATGTTTCCTTCCAGGGCAAAAGGGACTTGGCAGAGGTGGCTAAGGACCTGGAGAGGAGAAGCTGATCTTGAGCTATTCAGTGGGCCCGATACAATCACAAATGACCTACAAAGAGAGAACGTGAGGATGGAGGCAGGGGCGCGAGCAATTGCTCGGGGGGGAGAATGAGCCATGGGATGTGAGCAGCCTGAGCATCTGGAAAAGGCAGGGAAATGGACTCCCGAGAGCCTTTCCAGGGCAGCCCCAGTGGCCTCTTGCTTTAGTCCAGTAAAACCCATATCAGACCTCCTGAGCTTTACAGTGCCATCGTCTGCCAAACCATACAGCTCGGCTGCACGATGGGAAGAAGTGGTTTTGGCGTTCAGGTGAGAACTTTCTCAATGTGCCCTGCATCAGGAGGTGGAAGGATGCCAACCACTGGAACTGGGAAGTGGAACAGGAGTGCAGA